GATCTCACAGAGACTGGATCCCATCCAGTGCACACAGCACACACCCCTCCCCTACACCTCTGGCTGTTGCCTCGGAAACCTCTCCCTGCATAGTCTCACAGCACCGTCTCTTCTCTGTTCCAGGTCTTTATCCAGACACTCCCCAGCGGCTGAGACTCTCCTGAATATCATATTTGAGATGTTAACGAGCCCCATCCTGCTTCTTCTCCTCCTCTGGTTCAGTTTTTCTCCTTATCATCTATCACTTTAAGAGACAGTCGTCCGCTCACTGACGCGTTAATGAATTCCTGAGCAGCGCATTCCAGGGCACCAGCAGCAGACAGCATCACCTGTGACACTGCAGACTTGAGGGGACCCTGGTGACAGGCGGGCGTTTGAGATCCAGTTCCCCTAACTTGTCTCCTCAAACGAGGCGTGTCTGGGCCTTTGCTCTGCTTTCAGTCAACCGTCCAGGGAACGACACCCCGAGAAACCACGATGCACCCCACACCCCCAGAGGCCCCCTTAACTGTACTTTCTGGTGTCATTTCTTTACATTAAAAATAATTAATTTGTGTATTTTTGTCGAGTTTGGTGCTGGAGAGGCGTGTGGGGCACAGGGGTCATAGCATGTGTGGAGAAGCCAGAGGCAATTTACAAGAGTTCATCCTCCTCTTCCACCACGTGGGGCCTGGGGGTCCAACTCAAGGAGTCAGGCTTGGCAGCAAGTCCCTTCGTCCACTGAGCCAGCATGTCTGTCCACATGACATCATTTCTTAAAAAAAAAAAAAAAAAAAAAAAGAAGGTATTCCAGGGCAGCCAAGGGCTGCAGGGTGAAACCCTGTCTCAAAACAGTAAATGAACAGGCGACCCCACCCCCATGACAACACCAGAAGGTCTGGTAGTGCAAGCTCAGGACCCTAGTGCTCTGAAGGTTAAAGCAGGGGGATTCCTGAAAGTTTGAGACCAGCCTGAGCTACATGGCTAGCTCTAGGCCAACCTTGGAATTCTGCTAAAAATAAAAACAAATAAAAAGAGGAAACGTTTTCTTGTCTCCAAGGAGAGGCTCCACACCACTGCAGCTTGCTCTGCATGTGGCTGTGCAGGGTGTAGGCAGTCCTTGGTATATTCTCTCTAGCCAAACTGGGCCCTTTTGGACCTGGGAGAAATAAGGAAAACAATCCATTACCCAGCCACCTGCTTATCCTTTGTTTGCCTTTTTTTTTTTTAAATGGAGCCACCATATATACATATATTATTTATTTTTATTTTATGTGCATTGATTGGTGTTTTGCCTGCATGTATGTCTGTGTGAGGGTGTCGGGTGCCCTAGAAATGAAGTTACAGACAGTTGTTAACTTTCATGTGGGTGCTGGGAATTGAACCCGGGTCCTCTGGAGGAGCAGTCAATGCTCCTCACCACTGAGCCACCTCTCCAGCCCTTGCCTGTTTTTGTTTTGTTTTTCCTTAAGTATGTGATTCATAGGCAAAAGTTATATTCTCAGTGGTCATCCATATTCAAAACTTTCTTTTTCTTTTTGTAGAGGACAGATGTGACAGGAGGCTGACCTCCTGATCCTCCTGCCTCAGCCTCCGGAGTACTCAGATTACTGGCTTGCACGGCCACCCCTAGTTGTTTCTAAAACTTGAAACAATTTTTTTTGTTTGTTTTCTGAGACAGGGTTTCTCTGTGTAGTCCTGGCTGCCCTAGAACTCACTCTGTAGACCAGACTGGCTTCAAGCTCACAGATATCCACCTGCCTCTGCCTCCCAAGTGCTGGGATTAAAGGTGAGCACCACCACCACCCGGCACACTTTTTAATTTATTTTTATTTAGTGTGTATGTGTGTGTGTGCACAATAGTGCTCATGTGGAGGTCAGAGGACAACTGTCAGGACTCAGTTTCGCCTTCCACTACGTGGATTCCAGGATGGTAGCATCCTTACTTACTGAACCGTCTCGCTCACCCTAAAACCTTTATTTTTTAAATTTTATTTGTAGAGCCAAATGGCACCTTTAATT